ACGCTGTTAGTCTGTGATTCTATAAGGGTCCCCTGCTCGAGCAGGGGGTGGACTGGATGACCTCTGAGGTCCCTTCCCATTCTGTCCTATGATTCTGTAAGGGTCTCCTCCTTGAGCATGGGGTTGGACTAGATGACCTCCAGGGTCCCTTCTGACTGTGATTCTGTGAGGGTCTCCTGCTTGAGCAGGGGGTTGGACTAGATGACCTCTGAGGTCCCTTCCGACTCTGTGATTCTGTGATTGTGTCAGGGTCTCCTGCTCGAGCAGGGGGTTGGACTAGATGACCTCCAGGGTCCCTTCCAACTCTGCGATTCTGTGTCTGTCAAGGTTTCCTGCTCAAGCAGGGGGTTGGACTGGATGACCTCCAAGGTCCCTTCCAACTCAGTCTATGAGTCTATAAGGGTCTCCTTCTCGAGCAAGAGGTTGGACTAGATGACCTCCAGGGTCCCTTCCAACTCTTTTAGTCTATGATTCTATAAGGGTCTTCTGCTTGAGCAAGGGGTTGGACTAGATGAGCTCCAGGGTCCCTTCCGACTCTGTGATTCTGTGATTCTGTAAGAGTCTCCTGCTTGAGCAGGGGGTTGGACTGGATGACCTCTGAGGTCCCTTCCCATTCTGTCCTATGATTCTGTAAGGGTCTCCTGCTCTAGCAGGGGGTGGGACTGGATGACCTCCAGGGTCCCTTCCAACTCTGTGATTCTGTGTCTGTCAAGGTTTCCTGCTCTAGCAGGGGGTTGGACTGGATGACCTCTGAGGTACCTTCCCATTCTGTCCTATGATTCTGTAAGGGTCTCCTCCTTGAGCAGGGGGTTGGACTAGATGACCTCCAGGGTCCCTTCCAACTCTGTTAGTCTGTGATTCTATAAGAGTCTCCTGGTTGAGCAAGGGGTTGGACTGGATGACCTCCAGGGTCCCTTCCAATAGGATTCTGCAAGGATCTCCTGCTCGAGCAGGGGGTCGGACTGGATGACCTCCGGGGTCCCTTCCGCCTTTGCAGCGGCCCCGAAAGGCTGACCCCATCCCCGGTTGCCTAAACAGAGGCGCAGAATCAGAATCCTGGGAAGGATTCGTGCCGCTGTGTAAAGCCTTAGTAGGGGCCGCGCCCGGACGTACAGACCTGTGCAAATGTACGTCCGGAAGACCAGGTGGGACCTCCTCTTCTCTCCCCCCCCCCTTGCAGGTGTCCCCAGGTGGAAGGCCGATGCCGGGGGCCCAGAGTCCCACCCCGCCAGGTAAGGGGAAATGCGAGAGATCCATCTTCCTGGAAAATTGTTTTATTGGGCTAAAAAAACAAAGGCAGAGGAGGAATGAAAAAGGAAGGGAGGGAGGGAGGGGAAAAGGGAGAGAGGGAAAAAACTGAGAGGGAGGGAGGAAGGGAGGAAAAGAGGAAGGGAAGGGAAGGAAGGAAGGAAGGAAGGAAGAAGAAGAAAAAAAAAGAAAGAAAAAAAGAAAGAAAGGAGCGAGGGAGGGAGGGAGGGAGGGAGGGAGGAAAATAGGGAGAGAGAGAAAGAAGGAAGGAAGGGAGGAAGGAAGGGAGAGAGAGAAAAAGGAAGGGAAGGAAAGAAAGAAAGAAAAAAAGAAGGGAGGGAGGGAGGAAAATAGGGAGAGAGAGAGAAGGAAGAAGGGAGGAAGGAAGGAAGGAAGGAAAGGAAAAGAAAGAAAGAAAGAAAGAAAGAAAGAAAGAAAGAAAGAAAGAAAGAAAGAAAGAAAAAAAGAGGATAATCAGGGAGGGAGGGAGGGAGGAAAATAGGGAGAGAGAGGAAGGAAGGAAGAAAGAGGGAAAGAAAGGAACAGAGGAAGGGAAGGAAGAAAGGAAAAGAAGGAAAAGAGGAAGGGAAGGAAGAAAGGAAAAGAAGGAAAGATGGAAAGAAAGAAAGAAAGAAAGAAAGAAAGAAAGAAAGGGAGGGAGGAAGGAAAATAGGGAGAAGGAAGAAGGGAGGAAGGAAGAAAGAGAGAGAAAGAAAGAAAGAAAAAGAGGAAGGGAATGAAGGAAAAGAAAGAAAAAAGAAAGAAAGAAAGAAATTAAAAAAGAAAGGAGGGAAGGAGGGAGGAAAATAGGGAGAGAGAGAGAAGAAAGAAGGGCAGAAGGAAGGAAGGAAAGAAAAGGAAAAGAAAGAGAAAGAGAGAAAGAAGGAAAAGAAAGAGAGAAAGAAAGAAGGAAAGAAAAGAAAGAAAGAAAGAAAGAAAGAGAGGGAGGGAGGAAAATAAGGAGAGAAAGAAGGAAGAAGGGAGGGAGGAAGAAAGAGACAGAGAGAGAGAAAGAAAGAAAGAAAGAAGGAAAAGAGGAAAGGAACGAAGGAAAAGAAAGAAAAATTAAGAAAGAAAGGAGCGAGGGAGGAATTTGGGAGAGAGAGAAGGAAGAAGGGCAGAAGGAAGGAAAGGAAAGGTAAAGAAAGAGAAAGAGAGAAAGAAGGAAAAGGGAAGGAAGGAAAAGAAAGAGAGAGAGAAAAAGAAAGAAAGAAAGAAAGAAAGAAAGAAAGAAAGAAAGAAAGAAAGAAAGAAAGAAAGTGCAAACAAACCAGAATCAGAAAGAAACCGGCAATTCGTGACTTTCTTTGCCACGTTTACAAACCAACCTCCCACTCCTCCATCTCTCCTCTTTGCCTCAACTTCCCCCTTCCTCACCGCAAGGCCAGCCACAACCCACAACTCAGGGTTGTGTTCCTCTGAGGATACTAAGGACCTTTGCAACTCCCCAGAAAAGTTTGTGCCAAGGACACAACTGCTTGACCACAGGCGGCTGGACTAGAAGACCTTTAAGGTCCCTCCCAGCTTGTATTCTATTCTGTTCTGTTCTGTTCTGTTCTCTATTCTGTTCTATTCCTTTCCGCTCTGTTGTATTGTCCTATTCTGTTCTGCTCTGCTCTGCTCTGCTCTGTTCTGTTCTGTTCTCTATTCTTTTCTATTCTATTCCTTTCCGCTCTGTTGTATTGTCCTATTCTGTTCTGCTCTGCTCTGTTCTGTTCTGTTCTGTTCTGTTCTATTCTGTTCCATTCTATTTCATTCTGTTCTGTTCTCTATTCTTTTCTATTCTATTCCTTTCCACTCTGTTGTATTGTCCTATTCTGTTCTGCTCTGCTCTGTTCTGTTCTATTCTGTTCCATTCTATTTCATTCTGTTCTGTTCTGTTCTCTATTCTTTTCTATTCTTTCCGCTCTGTTGTATTGTCCTATTCTGTTCTGCTCTGCTCTGTTCTGTTCTATTCTATTCTGTTCCATTCTATTTCATTCTGTTCTGTTCTGTTCTGTTCTCTATTCTTTTCTATTCTATTCCTTTCCGCTCTGTTCTGCTCTGCTCTGCTCTGTTCTGTTCTATTCTTTTCTGTTCCATTCTATTTCATTCTGTTCTGTTCTGTTCTGTTCTCTATTCTTTTCTATTCTATTCCTTTCCGCTCTGTTCTGCTCTGCTCTGTTCTGTTCTGTTCTGTTCTATTCTGTTCCATTCTATTTCATTCTGTTCTGTTCTGTTCTGTTCTCTATTCTTTTCTATTCTTTCCGCTGTTGTATTCTGTTGTATTGTCCTATTCTGTTCTGCTCTGTTCTGTTCTGTTCTGTTCTATTCTGTTCCATTCTATTTCATTCTGTTCTGTTCTGTTCTCTATTCTTTTCTATTCTATTCCTTTCCGCTCTGTTGCATTGTCCTATTCTGTTCTGCTCTGCTCTGTTCTGTTCTATTCTGTTCCATTCTATTTCATTCTGTTCTGTTCTATTCTGTTCTCTATTCTTTTCTATTCTATTCCTTTCGCTCTGTTGTATTGTCCTATTCTGTTCTGCTCTATTCTGTTATATTCTGTTCCATTCTATTTCGTTCTGTTCTGTTCTGTTCTGTTCTACTCAGGTTGTCCCAAGAATGTCCTAACCATGCGTTGTAATTTTGTACTCCTTTGTCCAGATCCCTGCAGTGACCCCCTTGGCCTGGAGGACGGGCGGGTCCCCCACCAACAGTTGGTGGCCTCCTCGCACCAGGAGGGACACCCCCCGGACGCCGGACGGCTGAACAGGGCGCCCAGTGTGTAAGTGGCGCCGGGACTGGAGCTACTCCGAGCTTGCGTGTTCTAGGAGCACACCAACTCGAGCAGCGATCCTCAACCTTGGCCACTGGGAGAGGGGTGGACTTCAACTCCCAGGATTCCCCAGCATGCATGTGGAGAAGCACTTATCTCTTTCTCTCCTTCCCCCATCCATCCATCCATCCATCCATCCTTCTGTCCATCTAGATGTTTCTCAGTCTGAAGATGGGTGGACTTCAACTCCCAGAGTTGTCCAGATAGCATGTTGAGAAGAACTGATCTATATCTTTCTCTCATCTCGCTATCTCTCCATCCATCCCTCTTCATCCATCCATCCATCCATCTTTCCATCCATCCATCCATCTCTCCACCCATCCAACTCTTCATCAATCCATCCATCTCTCCACCCATCCATCTCTCCATCCATCCAACTTCATCAATCCATCCATCTCTCCATCCATCCATCCATCCTTCCATCCATCCTTCCATCTTTCTAGATGTTTCTCAGCCTGAAGATGGGTGGACTTCAACTCCCAGAATTCTCCAGATAGCATGTTGAGAAGAACTGATCTATATCTTTCTATCATCTCTCTATCTTCATCCATTCGTCCATCTCTCCATCCATCCATCTCTCCATCCATCCATCTCTCCATCCATCCAACTTCATCAATCCATCCATCTCTCCATCCATCCATCTCTCCATCCATCTTTCCATCCAACTTCATCACTCCATCCATCTTTCCATCCATCCATCCATCCATCTCTCCATCCATCTCTCCATCCATCCATCCTTCCATCCATCCTTCCATCTTTCTAGATGTTTCTCAGCCTGAAGATGGGTGGACTTCAACTCCCAGAATTCTCCAGATAGCATGTTGAGAAGAACTGATCTATATCTTTCTATCATCTCTCTATCTTCATCCATTCGTCCATCTCTCCATCCATCCATCTCTCCATCCATCCAACTTCATCAATCCATCCATCTCTCCATCCATCCATCTCTCCATCCATCTTTCCATCCAACTTCATCACTCCATCCATCTTTCCATCCATCCATCCATCTCTCCATCCATCTCTCCATCCATCCATCCATCCATCCATCCTTCCATCTTTCTAAATGTTTCTCAGTCTGAAGATGGGTGGACTTCAACTCCCAGAATTCTCCAGATAGCATGTTGAGAAGAACTGATCTATATCTTTCTATCATCTCTCTATCTCCATCCATCCCTCTTCATCCATTCGTCCATCTCTCCATCCATCCATCCATCTCTCCATCCATCCAACTCTTCATCAATCCATCCATCTCTCCATCCATCCATCTATCTCTTATCCATCCATCTCTCCATCCATCCATCTCTCTGTCCATCCATCTCTCCATCCATCCATCTCTCCATCCATCCATCCATCCATCCATCTATCCATCTCTCCATCCATCCATCTATCTCTCCATCGATCCATCCATCTCTCCCTCCATCCAACTCTTCATCCATCCATCTGTCCATCCATCCATCCATCCACCCATCCATCCAGTCTCAACCTTGACCCCTTGCAGTTGGGTGGACTTCAATTCCAGGAATTCCCCCAGCCATCCCTTTACCTTTACTAGTTCTTTGGGTCTTCCTAACCCGGCTTGTCAGGAGAGAGGACAAAAGCATGATGGGAACTTGTTCTCCTAGCCAGGAAAGGTCTCCAGAAGAAGACGTGGCCAAGAAAGATGTTCAGAAGTTCCACCTACGGTAATGATCTGGTCTGGACTGTAACCAATTTTGTGGGTCTCCTTTTTCCAGACAGAACATGGAGCCAGGATGGAGCCCCCGGCAGTCTGACCCCAACCCCTACTTCCAGGTGGACCTCCTCCAGCCTTTCTTCATCACGGCGGTGGCCACTCAAGGTGGAGGCAGGTCTGGGGGATTCATCTCACGTTATCGCCTGCTCTACAGCAATGATGGGGTCCATTTTTGGAACTACAGTAAACCTGGTTATAGCCCAGCCACATCCTTGCAAGCTCAGGTATGGCGCCGCCCACTTCCAATTCAGGAGGGGATCCAGGACCTACAAGTCAGCCTGGCCTCGTGGTTTCCCTATCCCAGGGGTCTCTGACCCTGTGGTGGAATGTGGTCTGGATCAGGGGTCCCCAATCTGTGGGCTGTGGCCTACTACTGGACCATGGCCTATTGGCTGTTTGTGCGAGCATCGCTACCCCATGGACACGTACATTAGCTTCACCACGAGCGTTGCGGTCCCACTCGCACGAGCTTCCTGTGTGTTTGTAGCCCCACTTGTGTGAGCATCGCAGCCCCACTCGCGCAAGCTTCACCGTGAGCGTCGCAGCCCTACTCGTGCGAGCTTTGGGACGGCCTTTAATAGTGTTGTCTCCCCATGGGTTACTCTCTTCCATTTCCCCATCCCTTTCTCTCCATCCTTAAAAGCTTCTCTTCATTGCTCTTCTCTGCTTTGCCGAGAGGAGGAGAGGTTCCAATGCTCTTGAACCCCCGCTTTTGTCCTCTCCACACTCTCTTTGCGGGTGTTGCCGCAATCCAGGGAGTGATGGTGACCGTCACAAAAACAGAGACAGCCTTTAATAGCGTCATCTCCCCGTGGGTTACTCTCTTCCGTTTTTCCATCCCTTTCTCTCCGTCCTTAAAAAAATGTCTCTCCGGTGCTCTTCTCTGGCTTTGCCAAGAGGAGGAGGAGGGGGTTCCATGCTCTTGAACTATGTGTTTTGTCATCCTTCTGTCCTGCAGGTTCTGGAGGGGAATTCTGACAGCATCACCCCGATCCGGCAGGAGCTCAGCCCGACTATCCTCGCCCGTTTCCTGCGCTTCGTGCCCGTGGAGTACCAGCAAAGCATTGCCTTGCGCCTGGAGGTGTTTGGCTGTGCCTGGAGTGAGTTGAGGGTGGGGAGGGGACGTTGGGGGCCTGATGGGGATATTGGGGGGGTCTGGAAGTTACAGAGAGGGTGTAGCGCAGAGTTCCCCCAACTTTTCCGGGTTGGCGGCTTGGAGCAGGGGAGGGGGAAAAAAAAGATAAATAACGCTTACACACCATTGAAAAGAGACACCAAAATCTAGAACGGACAATGGGGCTAGAACAACCACTGTGTAGGAGGGACAGGTAGAAGACTAGCAGAACGCATCCATGAACACTAACTAGTGTCCAGGAACGCCAACTAGCAGCAAGAAGATCCGATGAAAACCCATTGCTTGCGTGAGTGGGACCGAGAGCACCTCCAACACTCGTGTGAATGAGGCCTCAAGTGCCCACGACACTCATGCAAGGCTCCGAGTGCCTGCAACGCTCATGCAACTGGGGCTTTTGTGCATGCGTGCGCACCAGCCAGCCACGGTTACAAATAAGCCACGGCCCACTAATGGGCTGTGGCCCACAGGTTGGGGACCTCTAGCCAGTGGTGGGACTCAAATACTTGAACAACCGGTTCTCTTATTGGATGCAGGCCTGGGCCTCCGAGGCCTAGAACGGACTTCCGGAAGTGGCATCCATGCACTCCCGGGGGGCCGTTCTAGGCCTGGGAGGCCTGCGAGGCCTACAATGAACTTCCGGAAGTGACATCCACGCACTTCCGGCGGGCCATTCTAGGCATGCGAGGCCTGCGAGGCCTAGAACGGATTTCTGGAAGTGGCATCCACGCACTTCCGGTGGGCCGTTCTAGGCCTTGGAGGCCTCCACGTACTTCTGGCGGGCTGTTTTATGCCTGGGAAGCCTCCAAGGCCTAGAATGGACTTCCGGAAGTGGTATCCATGCACTTCTGACGGGACGTTCTAGGCCTGTGAGGCCTCCCAGGCCTAGAACAGACTTCTGGAAGTGGCATCCACGCAATTTCGGAGGGCCGTTCTAGGCCTGGGAGGCCTCCTCCAGACCTCCGCGGCCTAGACTGGACTTCCAAAAGCACTGTGCATTAAGCCGGTTCTCCGAACTCAGCAAAGGTTAGCTACTGTTTCTGCCGAACCGGTGCAAATCGGCCGAATCCCACCACTGCCTCTAGCATAGCGTGTGTCCTCCCTGAGAAATGCCGCACCTCCAGTGTTGCTGAACGAACTCTGCCAATTTCGCCAAGGGAAAGGATACTGGGGGGGCAGTCGTGACATCCTAAGGGCCAGATTTCCCAACTGCCCTCTGTGGGGGGGGGGCAAGACAGCTTAACTGAGGCCGGAAGAGGCTCACTTTTTTGTGAGGGGTCTGACCGTTTGGTTCTTTCTCGCGCACCCCAGAGACGGAGCGCGCCGAGGGCCGGTTGACCTCTGCCACCCGCAGCCCAGCCCCAGGGATAATCCGTACAAGACCCACAGCGGTTGCCACTTCTCCGGAGATGCCCACCTGGTTGCCACCCGTCACCAAGCCGGAGACTGCGGCAGTTTCCCCCACCAGCGCTGTCAGGCCGACCCCTTCTCGGCGCGTCCAGAAAACCACCGTGCCGGTTGCCTTGTTATCCCCAGCGATACCCAGCATTGGCTGGCCCACCTCTCGGCCCCTGGTGACTCCAGCACCCAGCAGTGCTTCGAGAGCGCCGACGTGGCACGTTCTTCCACCCCGACCTGGAACACCAGGATGGAGGCCCACCTTGTCAGGTGAGGCCGGCCTGCCACTCTACACGGCGGGGTGGGAGGGACGCCCGGTTGGGGGATTCCAACTTAACATTTGGCTCAAACACCGTAACGGTGAGATGGATCTTGGAGTCCTAGTGCAGGGCTTTTCAACCAGTGGTACGGGTACCACCTGTGGTACATTGGCACCTGGTAGGTGGTACGCGACCCTCCTAGAAAAGTGGTAGCGGGGGAGGGGAATGAGCTGAACCGGTGGCAGCACCACACAAGCCTGAGCGAGAGATGGCTGGAGCTGCAGGGCTGTCAGGGCTCAGCGGAAGTGCCAGGATCAGTGCCGATTTCCAGCTGATTGGCGCTTCTTCGGGGCTGTCAGGGCTCAGCGGAAGCACCAGGATCAGCGCCAGGCCCCAGCTGGAGCTCAGCGCTGATCCTGCCACTTCTGCTGAGCCCAGAAGAAGCTCCAATCAGCTGGAATCTTGCAGCATCTCCAGGGTCTTGTGATTTACATTCAGATGCTTGGCAACTGATTCATATTTATGACGGTCACAGTGTCCCAGGGTCATGTGAAATGACCAAAACCTGCTGCAACCACCCAGCAGCCGGGGGGGGGGGGGGGA